ATATTCTTGCTTGCTGTGCCATGCTTCTCTCGTGTTTGCGGCACACGTGAAGAGCCGACATGGACCGAAACCTGACGCCCGCCCCCACCTGCTCTATCACCATCTGCGTCCTGGGCACTTGTCAAGCATAAGTTTGCGCCAAGAATCTGACCACTGACAACATTGAGTGAGGTTGCATGAGGCTGCTCAAGGTTGATTGAGGCTGCTTGAGGGTGCATGAGGCTGCATGCGTGACCCAGTTCTAGGCTGCTACACGCATGATTGCGATGCAAGCTGGAACTCACTTCGCGGCCTCAAATTGGCCCGAAAAGCCATTCTTCAACTGTCCAGAACGGGCAATACAATGAAATGCAGGGACCCTGTGATCCCATGACCATCTGCCAAGTCTCGAAGCGTTCCACTTGGGCGAATCCTCGTTCGAGACGGACCGAGTCCGAAAGCTGGGCGCGCGCTCGTCATCGCGGCCGAAGATCTCACAAAGGCAGTACCTGCAGGCCAGGGCTCGTCTCTTCTGAAGTTGGTACCTTGTCGGGTGGTTTTTGAAGGATAAACCACAAGGGAGGACCACGCCCTTTTGGGCGTCCTGTTTTCAATCATGCCCGGGTAGCCATCTTCTTCAAACACAACAAACTATGTCAAAGGAGCGAGAAAGCTGCGGCAAACAAGCTTGAAAGTCCATCGCAACTCGGTCTTTCTATGAGCCAAACAATCCATGTGTTTGACTTCCCAAAAAAGAAAAAACACAAGAGCTTAGAAAATTGCAGGATCCATACCTCCTTGGTTGGTTGGTTAGTTAGTTGGTTGGTTGGTTGGTTGGTTGGTTGGTTGGTTGGCTGGCTGGCTGGCTGGCTGGCTGGTTGGTTGGTTGGTTGGTCGGTCCTGTGCGCCCTGATGCCAGTGAGCCAGCTCGTGAGCGTGAGCCCGAGGGCCCGTGAGCCAACGGAGCCCGTGGGTCTGTGAGCCCGTGGCCGTGGAGGGGACCAATCTCACAACATCTCACTGAATCCGGCTATCTCAACCAAGCGGCGCTTCCACCAGCGCCTTGTCAAACCTCAGACATGCTGCATGAAGTGAAACGGTCGTCAGCTTCAATTCTTGCGGAGACATCCTCGAAAGGGAGTCGCAACGCTGCTCAAGCAAAGCTTACGCGCTCTTGGTCGAACAAGCATGGCCGCAACCGTTGAGAGTTGGTCAGGGCTAGCATGAAAGGGGGCAGTGAATTTCGGCAAATCAGGGCCTGAACAATTTACCCGCGGGTGCCGGTGAAGCTGCAACGCAAGACTCAAATCTCTATGAGGGAGCCTGCAAGAAAGGTTTGACCTTTGAGCTGGGACCTTCCTGTCCTTTGAGCCTTCCGTTGAGAAAGGATGGCAGCGGCAAGGACAACTTACACCATGGGGTTCTCTATGATCAACGTGGATGCCATTCCCCTTGTCAGCCTCTTGGTTCACCCCCAGAGGTGGCGGACTTTTGGCTTGCCTTTCAATCATCCAAAAAAGGGTACCCTAAAAGTACACCCATGTAGCTAGGGAACTACGAGCGGATTGCGGGCAATGGTTGCAAGAGTCATTCCCATCTTTCTTACCAACAAGCAACGGCTCCGATTTTGGTTGCCCATGAGGACTGCAACCCAGGGGTGGTTCAACCGAATCCGGACCAACAAGAAGAACAACGTCCAAGGCCCCTAAACGATATGGGGCCATCACAAACATCACAGTTGCCTCGAACCCTCCCACTTAAAGTCCCCCGCGTTTTTGAAGACCAGTTTCGCGCGGGAACTAAATTCCATCCACGGCTTCTGTGGGGAAAAGCATGTCCAAAATTCATCGGCTGTTTTGCTGCAAAATGTGATGAATTCGTGCCAAATCCAGTAAACTCGCCCAAAGTGTTGGTGCCACAGTCGCGCTAGCTTTCGTTCCCGTCCGACCGAGTGTGGAACTTGCTGCACAAACCCCATTTTATCTGAGAATTGTGGGTGTACGTCATGTCATCCCCTTCTCACCAAAAGATGTACAGTTATAGACTCGGGGTTGCAGTGAGGTTTTTCCTCCAAAGTGAAGACTCCGGAACTATTGGACACCCTCCTATGCCCACTCGAGCCGGGTCCCACCGGCCAGCCAGGGGACAGTTCTGGGTTCACCTCCCGCAGTCCCCGCGCTTGAAGAATCCGCACAGCCAGCTCCACCTCCTCACAGCTTCTGTGGATGGACAAATCCATGCGGGCAACATTGGTGGCGTCTCCCAGCTTCGTAGGGCTTCCTTCATCCCAACATCCTCAGATAGACACCGCTTGTCAATAGCCGTCGAAATTGGCTTTGGACCGGTTGTCGGTTGATTGTCACAGGACAAAGGCACGACCACTGAAGGGGTGGGTCCTCAATAAAGCACATAAATACTGACGGTGGTTCAACTCAAATTGGGAGCCACTTAGAGGGTGCACATGTTTAAAGAAATGTTCCAGAATGGCAAAAAAATATCCCCAAACGATGGCCGATTCCAAACAATTCCGCGCGTGCAAAATCAGGCTCACGGCTTTTCAGGCCGGACTGAGTCAACATGCGACCGCCATTTGCCGCAGGGTGGTTCCCTTCTGCGGAACCCCTAAAACTGGTTGGCAGCCTTTTCATTTGGGTGTGGCTCAGAATTCAAGAGCTAGGGTTATGCAGGTGATAGTCTTTGGTTCCATTTGCCAAGGTGCCATTTTTGTACATGTGTTTGAGCCACAGCCATTTCACCCTTCAGACATTCAAAAGGCGGGCCCCTGTCCTGCGGCATTCCCCCGGATCATGCTACGCATCACCTGACAGGCGGTGAGGCAAGAAAACCTGAAATCGGGGAAATGTGTTGTGGAGGGCTTGTTTGTAAGGGAAACCAAAAGGGGATCAACTAGCTAAACATGTTCAAGGTCCCCTTACACCCGAATACCCAAAAAACAAAAATGTTGTTTCGGGGGTATTTAGCTCCTCGCAAACCATCCAAGTGGCTTACCTGGAAGCGCCTCTTGCCATCTTGCAACCGCATCAGCTGCCAGCGGCGAGAGAGGAGCGAGTGGCACTTGTCTTGCAGTTTCCTGACGGCTCTCACATATTCACTCACCTCCCGCATGGATTGGCGCAGCAAATGCTTAAGTCCCGAAACTTCCCTTAAAAAAATAGAAGATTCCAGTTTAAATCATTTCATTTATCGACATGTGTGTGTATGCTTGCGCATGATATGTGTGTGTGTGTGTGTCCCGCCACAATGATGCAAGAAGGTAAAAAGCCTAGGACTGAGGGAGTCAGATCTTCGTCGCGTTGGACAAAAGGTCAGACCTCTGCCAGATGGTTCTCGTGCCCTCAAAACCTGAATCCTTGATTGTAGCCTATCCGATTTCACCCCAAGGCACCTGTGCACTTGTCGTGTTGGCCAAAGATCTATACGGTCTGTGAGCCGAACAGCCGCGGAGAATAATGGAACAAATATGCTACGAGTGATAGGGGAGAGGTTGAAAAATGAGGACCCTCTCCTGTCAAAGCGTTGGCACGAGCTAGCTGAAATTTGGGGCCCTCCAGCAGAAATCCAAAGGAGCCAACGATCTGTGGGGGTCTGAACAGTTCGGAGTGGGGTGCTACAAAAACACGGCGTCAGGGCTGCTCTTGAATTAGGGGAGTGCGTTTCAAAATCCTAAAACTTACCAATGGAAATCGGGCAGCTCTTTGAGCCTCCCAAAAGAAAAATCAGCGAACATGCTGGCTTCGGGTGTTCCCCTTTTCTCCCGCCCAATTAACTGGAGCCATCCTCCAAGCCTCCCCAACGGGAGAGGCCTGCGGTTGGGCCGGGCCTTCCTAATGCGGCCAGGATTGATCCAGCGGCCGGTTCACAAGTGGAGCTTGCCTGCTGTGCACTTCGCAGAGCCGGACTGCTCGGACACTTTGGTCAAGTGGAAAACAAAAAGGGACAAAACAGAGGTGTCACGGATTCTCGGGACTCGTATGACTAGCAAAATCGACCTACCATCTACGAGTCACGTCTAACTACCTAGCGAGGCCGAAACTCTTGTTGGAGATGTGCTTCCGGTTTCGTTCTGTGCTTGCCGTCAAGTTTGGCGACTGGACCGGCAGAAAGCGTGGGGCAACACTATTCTCTTCCACCTGGCGTGGCTTTTACAGTGTGATTTCTTGGAAATGTGCTGATTAGAAGCGATCCGCGAGCTCCGGCAGTTTCTACCTCACAGTCAAGTCTATCTCTTTGGGACACTAACCACCTTACTAACCTTCCAGAAATTCCAAGTGAAAGAAATGTAGGAAGGAAATTAGACAGCCAATTAATATCTGACCATATGACATCTCTCTCATTCCCTCTCCCGTCCATTCACCAGCTAATGCTCTTTGCTAATGGATGGGAAAGAGAAAGCAATGTACCAGATCCATACGAAAGCAGCTGAAGAGAGACGTCATCAGGCGCTGTGAATCTTCTTTACTGCAATTATTCTTTAGAAGATTTATAATGCTTCAAATCACTTTGCGTGAAGAAAGCAAACATACAGGAGATCAGGGGCGAGTGTTCTCAAGCTGGCCCACAGCTCACTTGACTACCAAGATAGAACTTGAAGCACGCGCAACAGACAAGACTCAAACTGCCAACTCCTTCGTCCTGAGGCAACCACCGCCGCAAGCACGCATGAAGCTGAATCCGCGTGTCAGCCTATTGCCTTTCGCCGTAACGCACGAGTCCTGAGAATCCGTGAACCCAAAACTCACGCCAAGCGCAAAGAAAGAAGCGCAACGAAAAGACAACGCTTGGCGAGTATCGCACAGGCCATACCGGCATGGCTTGGGACTGCCCTCTCATTGCCTCCTATGAATTGCGCTGCTGGTGAAAATTCAGGCACCTATGGGGGTCGAAAGCTTCCCAAAATGACAAGCCCCCTGTTGAAAATATCAGGCACAAATGGGGATGTGTCGAAACCAGACCCTTTTAGGATAACCCATTTGTTGATCACCGACCATGCATTTGGTTGATGCGCCCACGGACTAAAACCCATCCCAAACCCGGGTGCCACCTGTGGCCTACCTGTGCCTTTCGCGCGGTCTCATCTCATTTGGCCAAGTCCCGCCGGTACCCGGGTCTCAGGCCGGCCAAGTATGCCAAAAACCCGCGGGGCAGGTCGGATTTCTGTGGTCAAAAGTGAAACCAAGACGGGGTGGTTTACATGTGAGGTCTACATGAGACCACGGTCAACCCTGATGGATTGATGACCAGCCCTACAAATCCAAAGTACTGGGGTTGGTGTTGAACATTGCACATGTGACCATGATTGTGAACATCTATGTCCAAGTACGTGCTATGCAGAGAGGCCCCGCCCAAATTGTCTGAGCTGTTCGAAATGGAGGGTTGGCAAATCCTGATCCAGAATCCAGGACTAAGGATTGCCTTGTGCAAAGCCTAAATCGCTTGTTTCATAGTCGATTGACGGAGCCAACATCATTTCGCCTGATCTCAGGGGCGAGGACCCTGTCCGGAGATTGCAGTGAGAGGAAACCAAAAACAGTTAGCTCTTGGTCAAAATCAAACAAAGCCTCAAACACACCAAAATTGGAAGAATCCCAGGTGCTCTTCACTTCTCAAACCATCCACCTCTCGGGCTCGACCCCTTCCCAAACGTTCCAAGGCTGGGGCCAGCGCCGACTTGCCAAGGTGCGACCGCAAACTTGTCTCGCCGCTGAGTCGAAACCTCGGCAAGGTGAAAATGCGTCTTAGAACCAGTGAAATTGCCCAAAACGGTTAGGGATCCGCGCGAAACCCACCAAGGGTTGGCCTCTGTTTGAGGCCAGTTCAAGCGTCCAAATCTTGAGTTTTGAAGGAGAAAGGAACTTGCCAAGAAAGGCCCAATGCCATCCTGCGTCCAAGCTAAGTGCTGATTGTTTCGATTTCTTGCGGTTTGCATCACCTTGCGGGCTTCACACAATATTTCTGACCATATGACTGGCAGTCTCCGCAGAGACCAACCTCCCTCCTGCAGAAGCTGTCAAAAGATGACAGGTGGGGCGTTGGAAGGCCAAGTACCCATCGAAGGCCAAGTACCCATCGACTTGGCTATCCAGTCCCATGTTCGAAGGAAGGTCAGATCATGTGCCACAACTCGTTGAATCCACGGTTTTGACACATTGATGCCAGAGACATGCAGCTTCGCAAATTGTTCAATCGGCTGTGGCGATTTGGAGCCTGGGAGCACGGCTTCTTAGTGTACACGGCAGCCGGATTCAAGTCAAGCTCCTTGAAGGGGTAGCCCTGCGAAGCGCTGTCGCCAGGTTGACCTGCATTTAAGGAACAACATGTTTCAAATGCTGAAACAATTGTGGAAGATTGCCATACTGCTTGGTTCAAAGATGTTTGACAAATCGTTTTGGCACACCCTTTGTGTGTCTCAACAGGTAACGGTCTTCCGCGACTTGTGGAAGCGCCCTTGGTTCACACTGCCCCCCGCTCGAAGGCGCCTTGACCAGTTGCGACAGCCACTGGGCCCTTTTCACCGGGGTCGCCAATTCTCGGGAACCTGTTGAAGGGGTCAAACCCCAACCCCGCCTTGGTCTCTGTGGTGTGATCCCTCCATTTCAATGGGAGACCCCCAAAATGATGTCTGGTCTTCCTTTCGGTTTCCCCAACCAACTTTGAAAAGGCTACCGATCCCGGGAAAAAAAAAAAAAAAAAAACGCTCCACGCCCTCGCGGAAAAAAAGAAGAAAAGGAATGGCCTCCGCGTGCTCCTTCTCGGCGGGGCAATGAACTGCGCAGCTCATCTTCGCGGCCTGGCGAAGTCCAGCGCGAGGCCGGCGTTGAGACCGGCGGAAAACTATGGCTTGGTGGGAAGGGGGCGGGGAAGGGCTTGCTTCACGTGTTTTGGCTGCTTAACGTTGTTTTTTATTTCAATGAACGCGTGTTTGCCTGCTTTTGCTGCTTGACAACTCAAATGTCAAAGGGAGCGCGGCAAAAAAACAAGTGTGGAGTCCGCTGGGCAACTGGGGCAGCCCTCAAGGCACAAAGACTCAGAGCAATTGAAGCCGACTGAGGAGTGGTTGCGAAAGGGTTGAACGAAATTTGTCCAGAATAAGAAAGCTGGAAGTCCCAACTCCTCACAAGGCACCAACATCCTTCGTGATAAAGTGTTGTTCGGTAAGAATGCTCCGACACGATCCGACTGTAACATGTTTACGTGTACTGGGCATGTCCCATTCACAGCCCCGGCCTCGCGGTAGCACGTGTGGTCATACCTTGGGTCTCACACTCGCATCCAGCATTTCACTCTCGAGTCGTGCCTCAAGAGCAGTTGAACCTCTCACGGCGATTTGTGGTGTCTGTTCAAAGACCAAGCCTCGGAAGAGCAGAAGCAAAATCCAAGGACACTGTTGGCAACAACGCCATCAGGTGCCCCGACTCAAACCTTGCTCTTTCAAACTCCAATCAAGCAAACAGGCCCGCCTGTCCCAGCCATAGCAGCTGCGAGAGCCGAAGGTACGCCCTGAGGAAGCAAAACTGCTTTCTGGTTGCTTTGTGGTTGCTTTTGGCTGCTTGTTGGTAGTTCCTTTTCGGTTGCTTTTGGGTTGCTTGGCTTTTCGGTGCTTTCCGCTTGCCTGTTGGTTGCTTTGCCAGTTGCTTTGTGGTTGCTTGGTTGCGGTTCGGTTGCCTGTTTCTGTCATTGCCTTCTGTTTGCTGTGTTTTTGTTGCTTGCTTTTTTGTGATTGCCTTGTTGCCTGTGTTGTTGACAAGCTTAGCCTCGCTGCTACGAGTTTCGATGGCTCAATCAAAGGGTAGAGCTGGCAGCTGTAATTTCCGAAGAGAAGTGCGTGCCTTTGTTATTGTGATTGGTTAGTGAATGGTTGCAAACTCACCTTAATTTCTCAGATCACTGTTCTGTTGAGAGCAGCGTAGTGACTGCTGGTGATGAAGTGCGCCTTGCTTTTTGGCTGCTGTTTGACTAATTTCATTCTTGTGTTTCCCCCCGCCCAACCTTTATGGCTGGTTTGCCTTCTGCCTTCGACAACCAATTAAAACAA